GCTTGATCTGGTGCAGGCTGTAGCCAAAGGGATAGTGTGTGATAGCTGCACGTCTGGCTCTGTGCTGGGGCACTGCGTGTGGTCCTGCTTCCATGTCTCAGTAGTGACCTAGTGGAGGCAGCACTGAAATGGCAGCTGAACAACTAACTGAATGGAGTGGCTCAAAGGAGGAAGGCCAAGAAGGCAGGACCTTCAGCCTGAGAAGGAGAAGGGTGAGAGAGGATGTATTTGAAGCTTACAAAATGGCAAGGCATGCCTAAAGCAGGGCTGAATTCACTCGCTCCGTCAGCACTAGATTTAGGGGAAACTTGATGAAATGCATGGAAGACTGAATTTAAAACAAAAAAAAGGAAGTTCTCTTCAGAGAACAGATGTTCTGAAGCTTTCTGTCTTAAGAGGCAGCAGAGGCAGGACAGTTACCAGCAGCTTCAGATGGGCGGATGAGACAAACCCAAAGGCCAAGCAGTTTGCCAGTTAATTCTGAGAGAAACAAGCAGGGTGGTCTCCATGCAGCAGCCCGGGGTGCTGGGAAAGCTGGAGGGAAAGGGCAGAAGCCAGTGCCCACCCAGTACAAGACAATGCCTTTGTCAGATCTCTGGCAGTTGTATGTCCATGTGTAATGTTGGCACCAACTGTCCGACCAAGCAGCATTGCTGTCTGGTCATCACTGGACTGTAATACATATTGTATCCATTTTTATAGTTTCTTTTATACTTCCAACAGACTTTATAACATCAATAATGTCATTCAGGTAATTATACTGTAATTGACCTTAGGGTTGAGCATCCTTGGCTTTTACTGAAGTTTGCTTAATACTTCAGGATGGTCAATTATATCATAATCCCACTTTGTTGGCAACGATTGTTTTAATTATTACACTCCAAATAGATCATTTTAGCAGTAAGGGTACACTGGGGAATGGTCATATTCATGAATATTTTAAAGAGTTACCAGCTTTTATTGTGGGGGAGGGCTTTTCATCTTGTCATCTCTAGTCATTACTTTTAACACTGATTCTATTCAGTTATAATTTAGTCTGCTCAGGCCAGGTCTTCATCTGCAGAAGCGAGCGTATGAATAGCTGGGGTTTACCGGTTTTGAGAGCAGTTGGAAGACTGCACAATCTGACCATATTGATTTATTTTTTTTCTTTTTTTTTTTTTTTTGCATTACAGCATGAGTCATCTTTGTTAATGTAAGTAACTTCAGTGGAAGCTGGAGTTAAAATGGTGACTTCAGTACCTCAGCTTTCTCTTTTTCCAGGCAGTCTCAAGTATGAATTATACCAAGTAGAAAGTGAGGATGCTGATGTTTGCCTTGTTACCAGTGATAATTTTATGGCTCAGTAAGAGGCTTATATTGCCCTCTTTATGATCATTTAATTTGTTCCTGTGTGGCATTGATATTCCACCAGGGGAAGTACCCTGTGAGCGTTATAGAGAAGATGCACTGCTTTTCTCCATTTGGAGTTGTGAAACTCCAAATGGCCTTCGTGGTAGGCAATCTTTTTGTTTAACACTGTGCTCAGTACTGCCCAGAATACACAGTAAGGTATACCGTGCCAGGTTTTACGGTCTAGTGCAACAAATACTGTGGATCCAGCACTAGAAACAAACTATTTCACTTCTTAAGCCAATTATGTGAAGAAGGCAGTATGCTCAGCCTTTTTATAAATGTATCTGTTCAAATGTTTTTTGTCAGCGTTTTGTATTTAACATGAATAAAAATGTCCTACCTAAGCAGAAAATGAAAAACTGGTACATTCTGCTAAAATGGAAACTGAATGTAACCCACTTTCCCCAAATAATATTGTTTCCTGTGTCTGATCTAATTATTATATGTGAGCAAACTCTGTGTTGGTTAGTAGGAAAATGCTACTCTTTCTAGTAGATTAATGTTTTTTGTTGAAGAGAACAGCAGTGTGAAAGACTTATTTCTCTATAAATTTCCATAGTCACTAGAATGAGGACTCTGGCCCATTAAGTTGCTGCCTGCCAAAGCATAATGCTGAATCTTTTAATTTGTCTCAGTAGCCATTCTCCTCCCATTTCTTAAAGGCAATATTAGGACAGCACTGATGTTTTAATCGAGAAACAGTGCAGAATCTGGTGAGCTAAGTGGTTCACTTCAGTGGTTGTTGCCTCACAGCTTGCAAATATGAAGAATTGGAATACATCGATTTGCAGACATGGAAACTAGAATGTGTGTGGGTGCAGGGTTAATATGTAAGAATTTGATGTCAGTGGAAGCCATGAAGACTTGTTACACCCCATGTATAGGTAGATCCTTACAGATCTACTAGTAACCTGAAAAGCAAGAATGTTTAATCTGTTGAGTAGTAATTGGCTTTTTAGATAAAATAATGTTAGTCCAAATTCACTGGCCAAATTTCAGTTTGGCAATTGAGATTCTAATGCTTCCTTTCACTCCACTGATTTGCTCACTCTCCCCATCAGCTATCATTAGGTTAGTTGTCAACATTTTTTCTACAAATGCCAGGTGGGATACCATATTTTCTTATCAGAATCAAGTCTGATCCATCTTTGAAGCAGTAAAACCATTAAGCAGTGTGCATTGCTCCAGTGCCCAATGTGGTACTCATCCTTTATGTGCTAGAGATAATTAACTACTTTATCATTCTAGTAGGAAGCTTTAATTTATTACTTTATTAAGCAGTGAAATCAAAGATTAAAATGGTATCTGTAGCACATAGCTAACTAGATTGTGAAAAATGAAACTATATAGTTTCAAATTCATGAAAATAAGTATTTCTATTTAAATAAGTGCAGTAATTTACTTTAATTCTTCAGACATCAGTCTAATTTGTAGTTTACTGGTGATTATTTTTCTTCGTTTTAAAGTAATTTGCTTTCTGTAGGGTGAAGTTGAGAAATAATGAATTGAATTCACATTACAAGCTACCGCCTCCCAAATTATAAATTAATATAAATGTAATAGGAGTCTGCTATTAAAATCTTTTGCAAAAGACTGTGCTATATCATTGCAGTAAACAAATACATTTATCAGTTCATTTAATACTGTGTTTATACTTAGCCTCTATTTTTAAGGATTCTGTGCTTATTGTCACTACTGTCTCCAAATGCCTTAACATGCATTTTCTCTTCAGAGCAAGCAATAGCATTTTTAATTTGTCATTTACAGTGTAACAGTTGATTAATGATCTACTTTAAAGCTAAACCATTGAACATGTTTTAAGATATTCTTTTCTCAGGGTAGGAAATCCATGTATGCTGCCAAAAGGAGAAAGAGGGAGGGAAATGAGAAAGACACAGGCAGTGCTCAGCACTGGCTTTTCACTAAAATTTGTTATTTCTACTCAGGTAAGGAATAAGCTTATGCTTTTACTCAGAAGAATAAATAACAGTCACCAGTTAAGAAAGCTGAAGATTTTTTTTCAAGTTCTACCACTCATTAATCTGAGCTACTGTTGACAAGAACTGGAAATTTTAAAGAAGTGGCAGCTGGGTGTCCAGGCAAGGAGAAACGTTCTGTTATGTGACTTGAGCAATGACTGCATCTTAACTTGTGGTTAAGTGTTCTTAATTATTGCCAGAAGTCTGTGGTATAGCGTGTTGAGGAAATAAGACATTCAGTAACAGCAATGGAACAGGAGTTGCAGAGCATAAATGCTGACTTCTGGGGTTTGTGTTCCTGGTGATTGTGATAAAATATACTTACGGAGGCATGCAGTTAACCCTCAAACCAGAGTGCTGTACTATACAGCTGTATTGAAGAACAACAAGTTATTATAAGACATGGAAGAAAATCTCAATGCCATTGTTTTCTGCATGTGCAAGAGGGTTTAAAATCCAGCAGTAAGGACTTCTTTAGTTGTTCCCCTCAACATCTTACGTAGGGAGAATAGAGAGATGAACACAGCCAGCAGGGTTTAAACTGAGGATTATTTTCATCTTCATACCTGTCAGTTCCAATTCTGCAAAATACCAGAACACATCCTTACTTATGTACATTCAACTATTGACTTCATTGTGAGATAAAGCACAGCTTTTAGCAGCTGCTGCTGCTAAAATCAATCCCAGAAGAAATTTTGCATCTTTCATTACTTCCTTGTTTGTGTATGAACATAGGGCTCCACCAAGCTCTGGAAATATGTTAGGAATTGATAAATGTCATCTTGATTGTTTAAAGAAGTAGAGCAGAGTTGCTGAATGACAGTGCCCAAAGTGCAAATTACCTTCCATTCTTTCCCATCCCATAAATGTGCTCTGTAACCGTCATTAATAAGTGATGTCCACAGAATAGCAAAAAAGACTTCCCTGAGCCACTGCACTGTATTCCTGTCCTGCAGGCATAACTGGAAACTGTAAAATCTGTTGGTCTAAAATGAGTACAGAGAAATTCTTTAGAGAGAGAATGGTGAGGTGCTGGAACAGGCTGCCCAGAGAGGTTGTGGATGCCCCGTGCCTGGAGGTGTTAAAGGCCAGATTGGATGGGGCCATGGGCAGCCTGATCTAGCTGGGGAGGTTGGTGGCATTGCGTGTGGCAGAGGAGTTGAAGATTCATGATCCTTGAGGTAACTTTCAACCCTGGCCATTCTGTGATTCTGTCTTAGCTTGAACCGTCTTTGTTCTTCTTGTTGTGATTTCTGCAGGCATATACATACACACTTCTTCTGGGAGGTCAGTATTGATTTAACCATGCATATTTATACAGGAAACAAGCCAGAAGGTATTCACAAAATGGTCCAAAGTAGCTCTACATTCATCTTACTAATACTGCAGATATCAACTCCTCCATGTAAACTGATCTCTTTTATTTGTGTCTCTTGCAGTGCACTGGGCACTTTTAACACAAGAAACTTGCTGGGTTGCTATTGCTGATTAAAACCCAAAGTGCTGTCCTTAAGAACAGCTCTAAATCATCTTGCTGGGTTAAGTTGTGTTGAGGTAATTTGACAGAAAAAGTCCTGTTTGGAAGGAGCATCTGATGTGTTTTCTTCATCTCTTTTCAAAAAGCAGAGCTCTTCTGTATCTCCCTCAGCCAGTTTCAGAACAGCAGAAAAGCACAGAAATTCGACAGATTATTCTTCAGAGAGTAAAAAACAGAAAACAGAAGAGAAGGAAATAGCAGCTCGTTATGTGAGTAAAAAATTACATTCTATACTGTTAAACTTAAATGTTCCTTTATAATTTCACCCATTTCCTACTGCATAACTAATTTTAAAATTGATGTTCAGGATTTTACTATGTTCTTACTGTCTGTACCTACCATTTACAGTGGTTGGAAGGCTTGTATGTGTAGGATTGATAGCATTTTTGATGACATAAATAAAGAACATGTGGAAGGCAGTGTATGAGGATAGAGCATTAATTAGGCTGGGACTTGATAAATTTGCAGTCTAGCTTGTCTCCACTTCTTGGTGCAGTGCAACTTTGGATGAGGATTTTCATTCTCTGTTTTATCCACTGATCTGAAAACTTATCTGGGAATAATACTGCAGCTAGTGAAATCTTTTAAGGAGGAGCACTGTAGGTGACCTAAATAATGCAGTTTTATTCCTGGATAAATCTTGGTTTAAAAACAGGCTATATTACGTAGTTGTGAGCAGCTTTCCATTTCTTTCACTTATTTTTTTCTTTTTACTTAGGAAACTCAGGGTATTAAATATGTATTTTTTACACACTGTGTCTTATTGCAGGACAGTGATGGTGAAAAGAGTGATGACAACTTGGTAGTTGATGTTTCCAATGAGGTACACAGAATGTTTTTGCTTGTTTTTTTTGTTTTTTTGGTGTTTTTTTTTTCATTTGTTTGATTGTTTAGGCGGGTTTTTTTTGTTGTTGGTTTTTTTTTACCTTACAGTAGTGGGGGTTAGATGGTGGTGTCTTCAATACTATCTATGTATTTTGGGTATGAATAAGATTACAGTCTTTGCCTTCATAAGAGAGCCAGCTTGAGGGAGTCCAATCATGTCTCTCTTTAGGATAAAAAACAGATCTGTAACACTTATTTGTACAAAAGACATTTTTTGTTACTTGGACGTCCCAAAAGTGTGCTCTGAATCCAGCCCACTTCAGCTCATAAATGGTGTTTTCTTTCACTCTGGTCTTTACTTCTTTTGTGAATTTATCAGGTCTGCCACATGCCTCAAACCTTTCTAGCTCGACACTTAAAGAATGAGACTTAATTTCCTATTTCAGTATCCACAGACTTCAAACATCATTTTTGATGTTCAATAATGTCAATTTTTAAGACTTTCTTAAAAATAAAATTAAAAATCTGTTATACATATTGATTTTAAAATTTTATCAACTAAATTGCTGAAAGGCTAAACGAACATGTCACATTTTATGGAAGAGCTTCACTCCAAAGTGCAAGTTGCTCAGGACAAGCCCTGTTGGCCAGTATGAACTTTTTATAGTAATCCGCATTGCTGATGTTTAGGATCCTTCCTCTCCACGGGGGAGCCCAGCACACTCTCCAAGGGAGAATGGCTTGGACAAGACTCGACTGCTGAAGAAAGATGCGCCAATTAGTCCAGCGTCTATTGCATCCTCCAGCAGTACTCCTTCCTCTAAATCCAAAGAACTTAGCCTTGTAAGTGCTTCTGAATTCACCTGACCTGAGTTAATACACAGAAATAGTTGCTTACCAGACTTCTAGCTGGATACCATTTGAATTTGTACAGCTATCAGTAAAGCATTATGAAGCATTAGTTTAAAATTTGTTTTTGTTTTTTAAGTAATTTTTATAAAACAGAAGGGAAGAAGTCCGCACCTTTTGGAGGGATAGGAAAAGGTTGTTTTCATTGGTGGTGTGGGTAGATGATAGATGCGCTGTGTTGAGAGATGTTTTTCTCCTCCCCAGTATGAAAAACTGTCATTCTTAGAATAAATAAGAGTACACAGGGGTTCCTTGATCTGTTTGCCTGTGCCTGTGGTTTATAGCAAATTCAGTTTTGCTTGGACGTGATTTGGTTGTTAGCTTTGTTTGAATTACCAGGCCATATACAACAACAATAATTTTTATTTTCTATCTAAAAAGTAATCTGTCATTTACAAGAGCCTTCCTTGACTTACATCGTAAATCACAAGGCAAAAAAAGAGTTGCCAGCAAGTCGGGGGTATGCTTTCCTTTCCTGTTTGTGGCCAAAATTAATCACATTTCTGAGCTGCATAGTAACTCCCTTCTGTGTTCTTCACAGGTCAGGATATGTGATTACTTAAAGAAATAAAATAAATAAAAGAAAGTTTAAAGTGAATGTAGTGCTCAGGAAAGGTGATGGAATGACAGGTTCAGGCCCAAGAGTCAGCAATCTGTCTGATAAACAAGCTTGTCACAAGATCAGCAGTGCACAGTCCCTGACTTAATGCCCATCACTGTCTCTACCTTGTGTTACCAGTACCATGTTTGTGTGTGAGCTGTTGGTCAGTTGTGCTTTTTTTCTGCTCTTCTTATCTATAAGGCAGTGGTTCCTCAAATAAGCTTGTAGTATGAGCAGGTCTGTGACCACTGGACGGATTTAACATGTGCTGCCAATATAATTGCCAAGCCACAGTGATCTTCAGTCACTGACCTCATTCAGTATCACATAGATGCCTTGGGCAATGAAAGCTGTGAAAGCTGTAGTTAATTCCTAAACCATTCTGTCTTCTTCAGTGTCTCTTTAGTTTTTATTGCCAGTGACTTTTGAAACCCAAACCCAAAAGCTAGATTTCACTGATTAGATGTGCACTTGTGTCTTCCACTTGCTTTACAGCAACTAGTCAGAAAAGTAAAACAACTAATGCACTGTTTTCCCTTCTTCTTTCTGATGATTAGAATGAGAAATCTACTACTCCTGTATCTAAATCAAATACCCCAACTCCACGGACTGATGCACCAACTCCAGGCAGCAACTCCACTCCCGGACTGAGGCCCGTGCCAGGCAAACCTCCAGGTGTGGACCCACTAGGTGAGCGTTGATCTGCCTCAGCGTTGTGAAGATGCTTCCATTCATCCCAAAACCTGCTTCCTTCCAGTGTACATTGGCATCAGAATTTACTGCTACTTAAACTGGATGCCGAGTTGGGCCTTCAGCACTTTAAACAGCATATATATATATGTATGTATAGAGAGATATAGATACGTAGATGCATATTTATATACATACAAATATGCTGTGTTATATCAGTATATGTACTGTACTGTTTGAGAAACTCATATTTCTTCTGATGGGTCTGGCATGGCTGAGTGACTTCTCTCTTTTTTGCTTCAATAGCTTCAGGTTTAAGGACACCTATGGCAGTGCCGTGTCCCTATCCAACTCCATTTGGTATTGTGCCACATGCTGGTATGAATGGAGAACTGACCAGTCCTGGAGCTGCCTATGCTGGTCTACACAACATTTCCCCTCAGATGAGTGCAGCGGCTGCAGCGGCTGCAGCAGCTGCAGCTTATGGGAGATCTCCAGTGGTAAGTGTTTGCTGCTGTTAAGTAATTCATTTTGAATGTAAGAATTGTGGGGTAAATCTAGCCTTTGTAATTCAGGAAGTTTGCTATGGAGAAAGAGAATTAAACTGTCTTCTTTTGCCTGTCTCCATCTTTAATATACCTTTTTGTTTTGCCTGGGGAAAACTGTAGGTTGGTTTTGATCCACATCATCACATGCGAGTCCCAGGCATCCCTCCCAATCTCACAGGCATCCCTGGAGGAAAACCGTGAGTATCAAATATTCAACTTTATAAATTATTCATCTGCTAAAGTTATGTTCCCTTGTTGATTGGAATTGCCCTTAGCTATTGAAAATCATTGTGAATTAGAATAAATATAGATGTTTGGCAAAGGAAGGAGAAACTCTTATTTAATCTGGAAGTGGTATTTGCAAATTTGTTTTGAAGATTAATAGCAACTGGCAAGTATTGGGTAGAGTAAAGAAAAGGGGACAGAGAAAGGATCTGAGCTTCAGGGTGTTATATGCTGAATCTGACTAGTTGGTCTTACATAGAAATACAAATTGGAGTGGGATCTTGGCTTTCCTTCTCCACTGTACTCTGCTTTTCAGTTTAAAAAATGATTTCTTTGTTCACAAAAGCCTTGCAATTACTTGCAAACTTACCAGCTGTTACAGGCAGCAGTGTGCAGAGAAAGGAACACTGAAATGTTTCCTTTGATTGAAAATACTGGAAAGAATTATTGTATCATAATGTTCAAATTCATCCTTGATGGAACTGACCGCAAAAGGTGACCTGCTCTACCACGCATCACTTGTTGTGAGTCTCAGAAAAAGAATTACATAGATATGAAGAGCTCTGTGCTCACATCCCTCTTGAGTTAGAGAGGAGAAAAATAAAGCATTGATGCAAACAATATTGATCTGAGTTTTATGTGAGGGTCCCCAGTTCCACTTCCTGTGTGACACCCCTTTTGTACGAACTTACCACTAAATTCATACACCTTGTCAAACTCTCTTAGACCACACACACTAGTTCACCTCAGTTGATTCTGCCAGTTATTCTGCCCTGATAGATTTTTTGAAAATTTGAAGTTTGAAACTTGAGTTTGAAAATTGATGTGCAACAGATTCCAGATCAGCTGTTTACATTAAGAATTTCTGCAGGATGGAGATTTTCTTCTTACACATGCAGTGGAAATTTAGAAATTTCTAGACGTAACGTTCAGGTGTTTGCACTCTTCAAGTTCATCCATCATGAAGATGGCTCCAGGAAGGGTAACCAGCTATGTTAAGCTATGCTTGTCTGGTCTGAGAAACTTTAATTGTGCAGACCTTCTGCTCACATTTAACATGTGGTGATGAGGGAATCTGAAGTCAAGTGAGTTCAACTTTTGTTGCATCTGGAAGGGTTTTTTTTGAGTGGTCACTGATGTACTGATGACTCTTTTAATTCACAATTGCATTTAAATATTTGTCAGCCTTGGAATCTGAATTTGAAATCTGTGATTCCTTTAGCATGATTATCTTAATTTTTAAGTAGAGTATTTTTCACAGCTATCAGGACTGTTGTTTTGTAATTTACACTTTTTTTTCCTTTAAGACAAAAGCTCTGAAAATCTGTGCTGTTGAATGTTAGCTGAAATGCAGCAGTTAGTTGAAACAGATCCCTTAAGTGCGGTGTGTCAGGGATCTACCTACAAATAATTGTCTTTCCAGTTCAGACATATTTCACAGAGAAGATAGAAAAAATGGGTAATTTGAAAAGAAGAAATAATTACTAAGTGTTTATTGTTATTTGTAGTGTCAGATATTTTTAAGTTACTTAAGTAACACATTGTGTGAATTTCTCAGTGTTTAAGAGCAATTAAAAAGCAACAGTTTAACCACACATGCTGATGGGAATAATGGATGGGATGAGAATAATGTAAATATTAATTTCTCCAGAATTAAGCTTTATTTCTGTAATTGTTCAAATTTGTTCTCTGTATGCTTAATAAGCCTAGTAGAAACATATAGAAAGTCTCAAGCATGGCTCTGTGCAGAATGACTGAAACTTTATACAAAAATCAGAGAAGATGATAATGAAGTTCCACTTGTTTTGTTAGAAATTTAGCTTCTTTTTTTTCAGTACTTTACTGCAGTGAACAGGAATTAAGGAAATAATGAGAAAGTTATTTCAGATTTCTGTAGTGATAATTGAAACCAAGATTCTACTCATATTGGCAGTTTGCTGCTTCTGACAGCCACAGAAATCTGTCCTACCTTTCCTGAATGTGTTTAATGTCAAAAAATGGGGAATGATGATATGATGTGTCACTCAGGCCTGCCAGAACAAGAAATGGAGAGCAGGATGAGAAGAGTTGGTAAAGCTTCGGGAATAGGGCAGGAAGGCGAAAATGCAGTTGCATTTTATCCTGATGAAAATTACTGTTCTGATGTTAATATACTATGAATCTTAAATAACAAACTCAGTAGTTGAATTCTGAAGCCTGCCTTCTTCAGTGACTGTCAAGCAACAATTAAAGAAATGAGCTTTCTAGGTAGTATCATAAAGTGATTTTTTTTTTTTTTTTTTTTGTGAGCTGTTCTCAACCTCACCATTGTTACATTTTGTTTTTTGTTTGTTTTTATCAATACTTCTGTGATGTTTTAAGTCTAAAGAAATTAAAGCTTTCTGTTAAGGTTACCTTTAGTGCATGTAGGTGAACCCTCTTGTAATGTTTATAGTCTTGTAATAGATATGATGTGTCAAGAAGCATTGAAGAACAAGACAGTTTCACAACGTAACTGTTCTCCTTGGAAAATATTTTGAGATGAAGCTGTTGATAGGTTATTCACAGGTGGCATAACTGGCAGTCACACAACACATTCTTTCTCAGTGAGAGTCCTAATTCTGGCAAGAGAAATTGGGATTTGTAGTTGTTGTGTCAGCTTCACACACACACACACACACACACACACACAAAACAAAAAAAAAGGAAAAAAGGAAAAAGAAAGAAAACTCAAAAGAAGGAAGGAAATTCCAATACGTTTTTGCTGGTCTGTCGTGTCAGATGTCAGCAAGCCTACCTGGGGGCTTAACCCCTTCCTAGTGGTGGTTTCACTGCTTTGGTAACACTGTGTGGGACCTGCAGTGTGTCTGAAGCAACTAGGTAGTGATCCAGCTGAAGTCCACATGTTAGAGCAACCAAATGTTATCTGGCACTCAGCTGCCCCCAGAGGTCTACTGCAACTGGCTATCTATTTCTGTCTTTCAGTGGACCCTGACCTGTCCTTCCCTTCTCTGCAGGCAGTGGTCTCCCCATGCATTGCTGTGTTATGTATCTCACTTGAAATCCTGGTTACAGATGTCTAAATAATTTCTTTCTTATATTATAGAAAAAAAGCTTTGAAAGGAGCTAAGTGACAATCTGAATGCCCGTAGTGGAAACACATACAAAATTCTGTTTTCTGAAATAGGCTGGAAGAAAAAGTTTGTATTGTTTGTCCTCTTTCCCTATGTTTTTTCCTTCGTAGGGCATACTCATTTCATGTAAGTGCAGATGGCCAGATGCAGCCTGTTCCTTTCCCTCCCGATGCCCTCATCGGTCCAGGAATCCCTCGCCATGCCCGTCAAATCAACACTCTGAACCATGGGGAAGTTGTGTGTGCAGTTACCATCAGCAACCCCACGAGACATGTGTACACGGGTGGCAAGGGGTGTGTCAAAGTCTGGGATATCAGCCACCCTGGCAACAAGAGCCCTGTCTCTCAGCTCGACTGCCTGGTAAGTAAATGGTAGCTTACGATGGTAGAAGACAACAGCATGTTGTGTTAAGATTGAAATGATACTGTTAAGGTACAAAAAACAGTGGCTATTTGTGTTCTGTCATTGGTATCAAAGCTTGATACTTTATTTGTAATCTTATTTCTTTTAGAATGCAGTTTGAAGTATGTTCCTTGTAATACTCGTGTTGTTTTCCCCCCAGTGAATCAAAACATCTTTAATATCCTAAAATTGTATTGGAAGAGGGAAAGATCAAAGACAGTACAGCAGATACTGTTTCTAAACTTTGACATTTGTTGGCAGTGTTAAAGCTTGATATCCCATCATGCTAAAAATTGCTGTCTTGCAGCTGTATTCTCAGAGAATATTTGAAGATAGTCACGTATTTTATGTTTGTGCATATGTGTGAATGCATTGCCTTGTCTTAATGTGACAATTAAAAATATCCCAGAGTGTTATTCACAAATTATTTGAATGTGCTAACAAGACAAACCATTGTTAGCAGTATTTCTCGTGTCATTTACCAGTTTTTGGTAAGATGTTGCTTCTTGTTACAAAGGAAATAAAATGAGAACAGTGCAGCACGTGTAGACATATAATGAATTGCTACACAAATCACTACACAAATGAAGAAAATTGCCCAAATATTTTTCTCTGACATCTCCTAGATGGTGGCAGCAAGTCTCACTGGAGCAGAGCAGGGGGATGTGCAGGGAATTTGGTACTCTTCCATGCCGAGGGGTTAATGTGCTGAAATAAACTGCATATGAAAATGTAACTTTCTGCACAAGCTGTTGAATACAGCTGTCTTGAATTGTTTGGAGTTGAGTTCAGGTCTTTGCATTTTGATGCTAATTAAGATTAAATATCTCTCGCTACTGAATTTTGTAGATCAAGTTTAAGTACTTCCCTAATGTCATGTAATTTTCTGGCATTAATATACTTTATCATTGTCATAAGTATAAATGGCTCATTAAAACCAGGAGGGAATACAATACTTTTATGGATTTCTGCTCTCATGTTAATGCTGTTTTCCTTTCCTCATGAGTAATCTCTCGATGGTTTCTGTCTCCACAGAACAGAGATAACTACATCCGTTCCTGCAGATTGCTCCCTGACGGCCGCACCCTGATTGTTGGTGGAGAAGCCAGCACGTTATCCATTTGGGACCTGGCAGCTCCGACTCCACGCATTAAAGCGGAGCTGACATCTTCTGCTCCAGCTTGCTATGCTCTAGCGATCAGCCCCGATTCCAAGGTCTGCTTCTCTTGCTGTAGTGATGGGAATATTGCAGTGTGGGATCTGCATAACCAGACTTTGGTGAGGTAGGTCGACAGAACCAGATCACCGGGTTGTGAAGAATTAATTAAACATAGCCTTACATGCTCTTCTGCATAAATGCACTCATTTCTTTGTGGTGTCAGCATAGTTGCTCCTGCTATTTCATTGCTAGGCAATAACTATGTACTTTGTGCTAGGCAATGACTAGTACTTTGACAGAAATCTATTTAATTGTTTGTGGGTTTTGAGAGTTTCATAATTTCAAGCCTGCCAAACTGCTTCCTAACTGGTAATTGCTAAAGATCACTTGGTGTTGAAATTGCTGTAGGTTTTTTGAACAGATGGATTTCTTTGTTTCCGTGCAATACACTGTGCTCACACTCCAATATCTTTAATCAGTGTTCCAGCAGATTTGTCTGCAAATATGTCTCAGATACAAATGTGTGTAAATCACTTCATTGCACACCTGGGCTTCTTAGGAGTTGGGGTTGATGTTCAGTGATAATGACCAGTAAGATAGTTAGGAGCCACTCGTACAGACCTTTGTACTCTGCACTGCGTACATGTTGCTATAAGGTATACTGTTTAAATATTGCACACAAAGACAGGCTTTTACCCTCTGATGCTTCCATTTGGACTGCCTTTAAAAGAAGAAAAATTGTCATTGTCCTTCAGATTCTCCTTAATGCAAACAAATTTTGGCAGTCATGCAACATTCTTTCAGGAGCATGTGGTATTTCCAGTCAAAACATAGGTATTAAATAGCAGCAAAAGCCCTCAGAATACCTATTTCATGAAGAATGCTTCTGAAAATCGAATTAACACTTGGCTGTATGGTGTGATTAATTGTGTTGTCAATTCATCACAAAGCTCATATGGCCATCCCAGAGTTGAGATTAATCTTAGATTTCCATGGCAATTTAACTTTTTCCTTCAGATTTCCATGGCAATTTACCTTTTTCCTTCCTTTAACGATAGTTTCAGAGACCAAAAGAAACAGGAATTATTCTGAGTAAATAATCAGAACTGATTATTTCTGGTATGAGAATGTGTGAATCTTTTTATATTTTCAGACAATTTCAGGGTCACACAGATGGAGCCAGCTGCATTGACATTTCTAATGATGGAACCAAGCTTTGGACAGGAGGCTTGGACAACACGGTCAGATCCTGGGACCTGAGAGAAGGGAGACAGCTACAGCAACATGATTTCACATCACAGGTGCAATCTTTGGAGCTTCAGCATATTCAGAAAAATGTGTCATTGTTTTCTAAAAGAAACGCTTCTATAAAATAATAATAACAATAATAATGAAAAAAACAGACTCAAAAACACTCCAAATAATCTAGCGTCATGCTCTTTTTTTTTTTTTTTTTTCTGTGTGCTGGCTAAGCATCTTTCTGGATTATTTCTGTTTGACAGATTAGTACTTCTCCTATGAAAGCAGTGGAGAATCCTTTTTATAAAATAATTGCCAGATTAAAGTGTTCCTGAGTGCAATCTGTTCCCATTCCTGTAGGTCCTTGTTCAAAAATATTTTACAAAAATATTTTTAAATGCTGTCAGATAAGCTAGGACATTAACTTTTATAGCTTGATTCAGTGCTTTGCTATTACAGTTTTAATTGAGCTTTGTTTACATGAACTAATTTATCTTGATTACTATAGTAATTGGATTTTCGTGTTTTTTAACACTGTAGCAGACTATGATCTGTTTTTGCATAGTGTTAACAGTGTAGCAAGAAGTCAGTTTAGAATATCTGGAGCTCCTTCCTGACTGACTGAAGCATGTGCTGTGCTAATTCCAGATCTTCTCGCTGGGCTATTGTCCAACTGGTGAATGGTTGGCAGTAGGAATGGAGAACAGTAATGTCGAAGTGCTGCATGTTACTAAACCGGACAAGTATCAGCTACATCTTCATGAGAGCTGTGTGTTGTCACTCAAATTTGCTCACTGTGGTAAGGAAATACTTCCATGCCAGTATTTTCTTTCCTTCCTTCCTGTAAAATTCTTCCAACAATGCCTGTAGATGAAATTAGAGATTTAGAGAAAATTTAAGAGTTGGATTTTGAAGTTAAGCATTAAAACTACTCAAAAATTCATTCCTTTTTTCTGTAGAAACTCCCTGTGTTGTTACCAAACCTCTTAGTGTTACTGGTTTAAAATGTGACTATTCTTTTGATATGTTTTTCATTAACGTGTGAATGTGTTGTTCTTATGACTGATCTGTTGCTTGGGGTGCATTTTTTGAAAGGAAAAAGCAACAATAACATTTAAACAATCTGTTGCAGGCAAATGGTTTGTAAGCACTGGAAAAGATAATCTTCTTAATGCCTGGAGAACACCTTATGGAGCCAGTATATTCCAGGTAATAATCTACTAAAAGCTATTTTCCACATTACATTATAGTGCAGTAGAGCTGCACATCTCACGGTCTGTCACTTAAGGAGTTTTTAAATGGAAGTTCCTGGCTAATTGCTATATTCAGTAATTAAAGAGACATACTTCTGTCCTTTCTAACATTTTAGTAATTTATCTCTTACAATAAAGTAACCATTTATTCTGAAGTTGTTTTTACTGTCTTTCTTTTTAACCTTCTTGTGCATAACCCAAGTCATGTTAGATCAGCATTCACTGAAGGTCCTGTTTGTAGCTGAACTAGTGAAAGTCGTACTCAACATGTGTTTTTCTTAGATGAGGTGCATAAGTTCAGTGGATTGGACAGGCACACTGGTGAACTGAAGACTACATCATTATGGAGTGATCCTGTTGGATGGAATTATAGACTGTAGCTTTTCAGCAGTTTTTAATCCTTCTGTGCCTGGTTTTAATAGCACTTCAGTGCCATTAAGAGAAAGCAGGATTTTTGTCATGTACTTTCGCTTACTGGTATTTCTATGCTGGGACTTTTTAAATTAAGCTAGCTGGTGTTCCTACTTAAATGATCAGATCTCACCTGTACTGATACCTGTAATGATTCTGTCTTCCAGAACAGCAGTACATTTTGTCTTGGCATTAGACTTGGGAAGTCTAAGCTCTGAGTTTTAGTAGTGGAGAGTATTCAGTGGTGGAATGACTTCCCACAGAAAAGTCTTTTCAAGGAACTTGCTTGAAACTGTTATCCCATTGCAGCTTTCTTAATGAGGGGTAGAGAAAGAAACTTCTGTAGTGCAGTAATGTTTCTTTGCAAAAATATAGTGTATTTGGGTAATATATAGCTCTTGCAGAGAGAGGCAGAAAAGAAAATGTTGGCATGTTTATACAGGAAACACTAAATGCACTAACACAGCATGTAAAATATGGCAGTACATAGACATCATCTGAAAAAAGGCAGAATAGCTGGGAAAGGCACAAAGCTATTGCACCCTGTTGTATCCTATCTTCCATTTACTTCCTATTACACTACTGTGTCTTTTCTATATTTGCATCTTTGCTGATAATGTACGTTTATTTGTGCAGTTGTTTTGGTGTTCTTTTTTTCACTGTTGGGCAAATACTGAGATGAGATATAATGACTTCTGTTGGATTGTTTTGTAGTGTTTCTCCATAAAAATTAAAATGAGAAAAGGAAGAATAAGGTTTCTTTCAATTTATTTTTATCCAAAGATTAATGTATAAACTATTAATAAATGCTCATAGCTTGTAGAGCGTATACAAGGGACTGCTTGTTTTTGATGGATTGATATGTTATCTCTAGGTCTATTAAATAAAACATTCCCTTCCTTTTTTGCTGCCCTTTTGTGTTGCCATAGAGCTTTGGATGAAACAAATTTGTAGAAAGTCTTGTAGCAAAAGCTGTCACCTTTTCACTTCAGATTCAAACCTGTAGTGCTGGTATTTAAGTGAGCTTTCTGTGTATTCCCTGACTATAAACTCTTCTGATTAATTTTCAGGCTCTTTTGGTTTGAAGGATTGAAAAGATGTAATTCTTCTTTTTTCTTTTTCTCTTTTTCTTGTAGTCCAAAGAATCCTCATCCGTGCTTAGCTGTGATATCTCTGTGGATGACAAGTACATTGTCACTGGCTCTGGGGACAAGAAAGCTACAGTCTATGAAGTTATTTATTAGAGACAAATCTAAACGCAGGCAGAACTCCTTCTCCTAGCACTTTGCTGTATTTCTTTTTTTTTTTTTTTTTTTCTTTTTTTCCTTTTCTAAACTAAGAACTTAAATGCTCATCGCAGTTGTGGAATTTATTTTGACCTTCTTAAATTGCTATTGATTTGTGAATGCTCATTAAGAATTTGTGATACCAAACTGTCAGATAGCTATTTGGGAGAAGATTGAATAAGCATACTTAACAGTGAACCTGACTCTTTAATTATGTATTATAGCTGTAATGTATTTATTTTGTGTAAAGAAGGCTTTCTAACAATGAACTGACTAAATAAAGCTGTCTGGCCCGGCTTTAGTTTAAAAGGTGCATTGAATACTTTGCTTTTTTGCTAGTGGATAAATTGGGGATTTTGGAGAAGGATGTTCAGGAGATAGTGAAAGCTACACTAAATAGGCTTGTAGTTTCTATTTAAAAAAAAAAAAAAAAAAAAAAAAAAAAAAAGAAAAAAAACCAAAAAAAAAACTTTTTTATATTTTTTAGTCCTGTTCTTGGATAAGACCTCTAAGTGTTATTACAGTATAATTATTTGGTGGGAAGATGCTGTAACTTAACTATTTTAGACAGTCTTGGAAACTTAGGAAATTGCAAACTGTAGCCAGTAATCTACATGCCTGTGATGAATGGCAAATTCAGTTCACATCTAAAATAAATTCACTTTAAGTAAGAATGTGCTAATTTATATATTTGCAATGTTAATATAGCATCCTGTGTACAGATTTGTTCTCAATGCTTTTTTGTTGATGAACATAAAGCATTTTGGTGTCAAGCTAGGTTTTTTAATATAAACACCTCTCTTTGTTATATTGTAGAGAGTACAATAAGTTGCCTCAAAGAATCACCTTTGTAACTTCTGGAAACTTTTGCAACGTTTCCTTGAAAATGGGGATATGTGTCTTTGGGCAATTTTTCAATTACAAGAGATTATGAAAAATATTTGATATGTTCTTTGGAAACTGCACTGAAATAAAAATGGATGCCTACCAATATACAAACTACAAAAGCAATGACCTCTAAGGTAGGATTTACAAGAGCACTCATTCTGACATATAAAAAGGAATGGATTCTCACTTGGGAAAAGGACTTGTTTTGTTTGCCAGCAGTTCAATCCAAGTCTCAATTGGATGTCCCTAAAATGGACGTAGACTGAGCCATTGTGCCAGAGACATGTTATCTTTTTTTGTTGTTGTTGTTGCTGTTAAACTATGATCTGTGACTTTTTTTTTTTTTTTTTTTTTTTTTTTTTTTGAATGCTTTAAAAGAAATCTTTTAAGTCTGTGGATCTGCTGATGTACAGTGCCTTTGCTGCTATGGATCAAAATCAAAAGACCCGTGTAGATAAATCTTATTGTATAAGTAGAAAATTACTTAATTTCGTACTAGAAATGGATTGATGCTGCAAGTTAAAATGGACTGTTCATTGAAGTTCCAAATGTGGTAGCAAAAAATGGTGTCTTAAGTGCTTAGTGTTTGATGTCATTAACAGTTTCGTAATATTCTACATTGTAGAAAGATTTTGATACTAAACTGTGTCATTGTACATAGTTCTAATGCATTGTATTGACCACCAGTACTTCTATAATGGTAGATTATTGTTTGTGCATTCAGACTTTTAAGCATTAAACATAAGTAACTTCTAATATGTATTTTTCTAAGTCTTTCTTCACTCCCTTGTTCTTTTGTGTACAGTAATCTCACTTAAGTATGCAGAATGCTACCTGTAAGGTGAACTGATGATCAGAGGGCGTGCCAGTGCAGATACATGCTGTCACTCATAGACAATGTCCTGTTTCACCACGTTTTTCCCAATCAACAAAATTAGTTAATATGTAATTTTTCAGTCTGAGTGGCTCTCAGCATTGGGAGGTATCAACTCTTGAAGGCCCCAAGACTTCAGCCATGTCACCTAGAATTTGCCACTTCCCATTTGTTTAGTTTCTCATCTGATACAAAGCGTTATGTTATTCCATACCTCCATGAGAAAGAAACTCAGAACAACTCCAGCTCCTGGGCCTGCTGAAGTTTGCAGAGTTCAGCAGAATATGGGTGAGGGATGATGTACTGGAATACGACACCTGGATTTTGTCATTAAGGGATGAAACCTCCTCCTACCCATGCAAAGATGTCTCTTGAGTACAATAGGTTTTTTGTTAAGAACTCAACAGAGTTAGGCTGCAGGTTAACGTGAACAATGGGAAGTATTAGGGTAAGAAAAATAAAGTGAAGTAGAAGAAATGTTGTACACAGTTCAGTAGGGAGGAGGTTGTGCTAGTCGCAGTGGGAGAAAAGGAAATGGAAAGTGGATATTGGAATTAAATATTTCTCCCATAGCTTGTATTTAAAACTGATGTGCATGTTACAAACTCCTGGAGGTGTAATCCTATCATGCTGTGAGGTCCAGTCCATGCTATCTGCTGTTTCATAAATTCCAGTTTTCGTTTCTCTGAAATTCTAAAAGCTTAAGCTGATCAGGTCATTTATCTGCACTGTGAGTGACTGGGATCCTTGTCAGTGGAGAGGAGTGGAGGGAAATGCTGTTACTTGTCCCTCAGAGCTCTCAGATTCCTTACAGTAAACAGGGAAGAGGAGTTTTCCAGATATCCCCCAAAATGTTGTAAGTTTTCACCCAAATGGAGATTCTCTGCTACTTAGTATGCTAATGCTTTGTGAAGATGAATTCTGTACAGATGCTTTCTGTTAGTCATTACTCTTGTCTGAAGAGATGGAATTTACCTGTTGTTATGTAGGAGACAACTTTTATTTTACCATTCACATATTTTAAAGGCTAGGGTTATACTCCATTTACTAACAAAAGGAAAAGCACCTACTTAATATTTGTAGAAAATATTGTGTTCTTCAAGCATAAGAAATTACCTTAAACTCTTAAAATAAAGCCTGCATTTAAAAAGAATAAAACACCGCATATCTTGAATTTGTACCAGAGCTAGTTTTGAAAGTGGACTAATATAGTTTTAAAGCAGCCTGCCATATATCTGCTTATTAATATTTTTATTAACAGCTTGTAAACAGCGTAGGAATTAAGTGCTTTAATCCAGGATTACCACAGTTAAACAAGTAATCATCCTGAATTTTCTCCCTTTCAGGGTTCAGTGTAAGTGCAAGGTGGTACTTTCTGTTTTTCAGTTAAGCACACATTAGGTCACTTTCCTTTTTCATTCTTAAGTTCCTCTTGCTGCTGCAGGCTCTGATTTTGTGCGGGAATGTTTTGTCACGGATAGCTTTTGTACTACAAACATGTGGCCTGCATTCTCCATATTCAAGTTACAGACATTCAAGTTTCTTATTCCTGAAAGGTTAGTGGAAACAGGAATGCAGCTTTGCAGTTCTATGTGTATCTGGAGTATCCTCTTCTGAAACCTAGGTCAGATCCTTTTTGCAAATGAATGGGTGCTAAGTGTAGCAGTACTCCCATAATTTATGCAGATGAAATTCTGTCTCATTGTTACAGAACCTGATCAGACTATTTTGTTGGTATGTTCTTTTGGTTTTTTGTTACTAGTGGTTTGTAGTGTTTTGTTTTGTTTTTAACAGTTAGGACGTTTGAGTCTCTTCTGTTCTAGCATATTTGTGATCACCCCTACTGCAATCCTGACATGGCTAACTTCCACTCGAGGATTTATGCTCTGAAAGAATGAAGAGCAAATTGCTGTTGAGTAAAAGATTTTTGCATGTGCAGAAATCAGAAAATTCAGAGCAGTAGCTTGCTCTGCAACCATTTCACATTTATATTGTGTTTGCTATGTCTTTTTGGCATCAAAATGATGCTGAGTACAGCAGTGTTTTGGTGTAATGTTTAAGAACATCAAACATGGCTGCTAGGAAAGATTTTTGAATTTTTCAGAGCAAATGTGTGCAGAAGAGGCTCAGCCAAAGACCTGCTGTTACATGGGTTCTGTGGGAGAAGTAGTTGCATTCAGTAGTGAAGACTTTTTCTATTATTAGTGTTTTGCAGTGACCACACACAGTGGTGGTGAGATAGTTTGGGCATTGTGGGCTTGACATGCAGCTATGTATTTATATGAGTCCCCTTCCCAGGGATAAGAGGAGATGAGTCTGGAGTAGTGTGCTGTACAAGATCATCTCTGACAAGCTCTTAAATAATGCACCTGTCGCGTCTGGTTTTAAACCAAGAGTTACTGAACATAGCCCTCGAGATTTTACGTTTCTTCCAGTATTTGGAGTACAGCGTTTCCACCTCACAGCATGGAATTTTTATGTCAAAACCAATAAATGTTCTTACTCTTAGCAAATGATTTTCTGTCTCAGTTACAAGGAAACAGTATTATAGTGTCTTTTTTTTATTATTAAAAATGGTGTAGGCTGACATATACAACATGTCCATAAACCTGCCATCAAGTGCAAAGGAGTTCTTCTGGGGGTCGCTTTGAGTCACATGGACGTATTCTAAAACGTTGTTGCAGAAATACATTTTTTTGTTTGTTTGTTTTGGGAGAATTAGCCTATGATACTGTATGCATAATAAACACGTGAAGTGAGGAATTGTCTAGTAGTTACTTTTGCATCCATGGCTAGGACTTAGCTGATTACCCTAGAATGCTAAAATGCATCTGAAAGGTAGAATCAGTAAGTACAAATATTTAAAAATTATATGTGTGTGTATACACACACACTGTTCTACAGTAATTATGTGGACTCAAATTGTCTTTCAATATCAAGGCAAGCATCTGTACAACATCTTCATATTCAGATAAAGAAAGGGGTGGAAGAACTCAATCTTTATCTGTCAATGAAATCTCTTTTTAAAAAGTGCTTAGGAGAGTAGTTGCCTTGGTTTTGTTATCATTGTTCTTGAAGAATTTTATAACAAATGTGCTGTGGCACGATCCACGGTAATGGTATAAATGAAAAGAGACAATAGGGCATTTACAAACCAGGCTTGAGACAGTGCTATTGACATAAAGATAGGCAGTGTGACCTGATAGATGTTACCTCATTTCCTGAGCAACAGAAACCTGTATTATTTGTGATATGTTTGAATGCATTTAAACATCTGTCTGGTAGATCTTAAGGAAATCATGGGTTTCAGCAATTCTGGCTTGGGTTTTTTACTGTCACTTAGTGCTGGCTTGATGCTGCCAAAGTGGTACTTTCTGAGGGGTCAGACTCTGGGGCCACAACTGGAGGCGTTGGGAGGAGCCCCACCTCTGTGTTGCCTCTTGGCAGCTTGTGAGATGACTTACGTGAGCCCTGAAGAAAGCATTGCTACATTCTTCTGCACAGAAATCGCTACCTAAATACCAGGTATCCTTTATTTATAAAGATATGTCACAGCTGAATGGAAATATAAGGAGACATTTTCTGCTGAGAAAAGAACAAGGATGACCTCTGGGGAATCGGGCGTTTCAAGGCCTTTTCGAGCACAGCGAGTGTGCAAACAAGGCAGTTGCTCTGTTACTTTATAGACTGTCAGTCTTCTGCCCAGTCGCTGGAAGCTGCTTACGGAGCAGGGAAAGAAAATTCTAAAATACATGGTATGAAGTTAATAGATTTCCATACGTTTCAGCCCGGCTTTGAGGTGTCAGGTGTGAAGCCCAATTTACAGTCAATTTAAAATAGAAAGATGGCATGGTTTTCTTACAGAAAGTAATGAGTTTGAAAGAACGAAGGTGGGTACTGGGCTTTCTCTTTGGAACACAGAAAATTCTGCTTATTTTACAGCAGAAAATTCTGCTTATTTTACAGCAGAACCTCCTAAATGTTTACAGTGATGATAATATTTCAACAAAAATATATTTTTGCAAAGCGAAATTTTATGTTTATCTTCTCATTTCCTCATACACATTTTGCCTGATTTAAAAAATACCCATGTCCTTTGGAAATCAGCTTAGTTCGTTTAGACCTATAACACTCAAAATAATGTCTCTGTGTCGTATCTAATGTGTCTGCATGCGTGTGACTTTGCTGCTGTTTTCTCACTTCCTTCCCAACTGAGAAATATCCCAAAGTTGAAGAGGTGCTCTTGTTTGTGGCTTGGTCTGGATCTTGGGGACTGCTCAGCAAATGGAAGTGGGACATATTCACAGGATTTGGCTGGCTGTCACAGCTGCTACAGATTCATTTAGGCCTCTTTCTTCCTCTGAGCAGCCTTAAAAAAAGAGATGCAGCAGGAGTGGTCATCTGTCTTGCCAAGCCTTTGCTTTACTGAGTTTCTCAGGTGCTCATCTGCTAGAAATGGGAGGGGGAGGAGGAGGAGAAGGAGCAGTGAGTCCTGCTGGACTGGGCATGCCACTGGAATGGCAAACGTAATCTAAGGTGCATTGGGAGAGATATTTGCAACAGAGAGAGGGAAGTCTTGCTGCCACTGTACAAGGCACTGGTGAGACTTTGGAATAGTGAGTGCAAGTCTGGTCACCTGTGTTTAAAAACTTAATTGAAAATGAGCCTGATTGAGAGAAGGGCCTACCAGGCAAACTGGAAAATCAAGGGAATAGGGACTGTCATGCAAGGAGAGTTTATGTTCTTTTAATCTAGTGAGCTGGCAAGCTGAGAGCAGGTAGTAATGTCATCTGAAAATACTTCAGATGTTTATTCATCAAGAATGAAAAGGCATTAAATCTGAAGGATAACACCAGCACAAAAAGCAAGTGAAGAAAACAGCACAGCCTGGAATTGAAGAGGCTCCTGTGAACGTTGGAGGTCCTGCAGTTTCTGATCCAAAGGCAGAGAAAATCAGACTGCTTTCAAAGTAGCGTGTGAGGCATTTAAGGAGGAGTGCCCACAGCTGGAGGGCAGTGGATGTCTGGCACTCCTTCCTATGCGTTTGACCTGAATATATAAAGGTAATGGAATTAAATGATGTTTATTTTGAAAAAAGTTTGGTGTGAAGGAGGGAATGAAGGAAGGTGGGTGAAGTGAGTGGGAGAGAAGGGCTGTCAAACAGAAAACACTCATTTGGAGTGCTTCACTGCTGCTGAAAAATGAGTGCTTCTTGCTAGGTCTATTTATTATGACACTGCTTATCTAAAAACAATAGTTAAAAGGAAAACTGCACATTATTCAAGCTCTAATGCAATGTGCCACAGCCTACTTAAACTTGCTGGGTTTCTACTCCATCAGCTCAGACAAGAGATCTGTTTCTGCTATATGCTGAAGTGTTTGGATTTTTTTGAGTTTGGCAGCTCAGCACATGCTTCTCCAATCTGTCAGTGGTCATGTTTGGGGCACGTGGGATCAGCAGAGTCTCCTGGACTGCATCTGCACAAACTGAGAGCTGCAAGCTGCTCGGAGTAACTGCAAGGAGAGAAAGATATTTTTTGCTGCACAGAAGGCTGATTAGAGCTGGGGGTCATCAGTTGTACTAGCTGCTTTCTGTCTGCTTCTGGGAGAGATGTGGCCTGGGAATGAGGGTTGCTGAATATCCCTTCACTTCTTTCACTTACACATCAGGAAAAGTTGGGGAAAATAGCATTAGAAGCCAAATTATTCCACATAAAACACAATCAGCTATCCCAACCAAGCTAAATTGTATCAATCTTGTCTTCAAGATCAGGCCTTTCTTAATGCTTAGCAAAACTTTCTGGTATCTTGCCAGAAGTATTTATATACTTTGGCTGGACAGTGCTGCAGCTGGAAAAATGTGAGGTAACTGCTTTGATAGATCACCTAGAGTGTTGTTTCATATAATCTAACTTCTCTTATTCCATTTTTTTTTCAATTTTCAAACACTTTTTTCAGAAGCTGAACAGCAGTCTACCAGAGAAATCACTATCCATCATCCTGCATAGCTTTTCAGAATCTAATACACCAAAGTGCAAGGTAGGAAAATGTGAGCACAGTTTATGTGTGGTCTTGCACCACTTTCAGCTTTTGGAAAAAAAAAAAAAAGGTCTGGTTGAAGCCAACTGAACCCAGCTGAAGCTGGGTTCCCAACTGTTTTAGTGCTTAAATACAACAGATAGGTA